TATTTGCAGGTCTAAATGCTGAGCCTAGCCTCTCTGAGGAAATCTCAAAGCCTATGACTACAGATGTGGGATGTGCTCCAAAATAGATCTTAAAGCTGTTTGTCTTCTGAAGCGTGTTCTCTGTCTGGGTTCCAATTCACAGAGAATGCATTGCCTCCTAGACAGGAAATAATAGCAGTGAGGCTGGGAACTTGATTGTTCACTGTCAGTGATGATGTCCCCTTGAGAGGTGTGCAGATCTGTAGTCTCAGACTATAGCTCCCAGAATTCTTGAAGCAACTCAGGCAGCAGTCATGCTGCCTGAGGAATTCTAGGACTTCTAACCCACTCTCAGTACATGACCGAAAAACAGAAGAATGTAGGAAATTGTCTTATAGTGGCTGAAATCCACAAATCCAAACTAGAATAAGCCAGTTGAATCAATCAATCAAACCGTTATGGCATACACAAAACACCTAATCAAAACTACATTCAGTAAAACTTATTTGCAGCTGTCGTGTTCCCCCAGTGTCCCCTGTGTGTGTTCCCTCAAACACAGGTCCACCTTCGGACACAATGCGCTATTTTCTCCCTTTATACGCTGCCTCCAGTGGATCTTTATCCACACAGTACAGTGGGGTCTTGACTTGAGAACTTAATCCGTATTGGAAGGCGGTTCTCAAGTCAAAAAGTCTGTAGGTCAAGTCTCCATTGACCTACAGTGCATTGAAAACCGATTAATCCCGTAACAGGCCGTTTTGATTGGTAAATCACAGAAGTAAAGTCATAGATGTTCTTTTATCGTTCAGTCAGATAGGATTACATGTTAGCTTGTTTGTATTCATTCACATTACCCACGGGAACGATATCTTATGACTGTCTATCTATTTTCTATTACTTTTATCTTCTATCTATTCTGTAACACCCACTGACTTTCCAATCTCTGTCTTAACACTTCAAAACCTCTTCTCTAACTCCCTCCCCACTCTCCAACTGTTCTCTTGACTCCCCCCCTCCTGTCCTGCCATAGGCTCCCGCCCTAGAGCTCCATATGATGGGCAGGCGTGACTTGGGCATTCCGCCACAGCAGCTTTCTGGAACAATATCAAAGTTTGCTCAGGTTCAATGTAATTTTACTATTTATGCCACAAGACACCCTCTACGCCTTATCCTATGTACCTTCCAATAATAATAATTAAAGATTTTATTGTCGTGATTAGCCTAGAAGATCCATAAACCTGGCTCAAGCAGGGACTGCTGGTTCAAAATGTGCTATTTTTAGCCTGTTCACTAGGTGTGCTAAGAAGCATGCTACTTTCTCCCACCCTGTCTTCCACCCTGTCATTTAACAGAAAACGCATGCTGCCTATATCTGACCACCCTCTTACCTTGATCAATATTGAGTCCAGATATTGAATGTGGGGTTCTGAATAGCAAGGGCAATATAAACACATGTCTACCAGTGACTCAAGTCCTCCCAGTTCACAAGAGCGGTTCCTCTCATTGTAAGGAACAGCCTGACACCTGCCAGATAATACTGCTGAGGGCATTACATTAAATCTGGTCAGGGAATAGGCTCTGCGTTTTTGAGGTGATTGCAATAGATGGTAGTATAGGGCCCTCTGGCCCTGCCTAGCAGGAATAAGGTGGTTTAGGGGGGAACAAGTCTTATTTGCTGCACTTAGGAGATCCTGGAATTCGATATCTAACATCCATCATTTAATCAGCTGAAATGCTTCCTTGTGGGGCAGGGAGCCAAGTGATTCCACTGACAGGCCTATTAGCAAGATTTTCTTTTCAATACAGTGGTGCCTCGCTAGACAGTTACCCCGCATGACAGTTTTTTCGCTAGACATTGACTTTTTGCGATCGCTATAGCGATTCGCAAAACATTGATTCCTGTGGGGGAATTTTGCTGGACAGTGTTTGGTCCCTGCTTCACAAACTGATTTTTGCTAGACGACAATTTTGACAGTTCCCTCCGCGCTTGCAAAACAGGTGTTTACAGGACCTAAGCTTCGCAAGACAGCGATTTAAACAGCTGATTGGGGGATCGCAAAGTGGCTTTCCTCTGGCTGATCTTCGCTAGACAATGATGATTCTTCCCCATTGGAATGCATTAAACAGGTTTCAGTGCATTCCAATGGGGAAATGCTTTTCGCTAGACAATGATTTCGCTAAACAGCGATTTCAGTGGAATGGATTATCATCGTCTAGCAAGGCACCACTGTATAGGCAAGCTCTCTAGTGATGGATGGTTCTTGTAAAATGTAGTGTTAAGAAAACTGCCCTCTTTGAAGTTAGGATAGATCTTTAACCAATATTTGATTGATCCCAGCCATGCCTGAATCACTACCATATTTTGGCCCTTCTCTAAACAGAGGGCCGTGTATGGCACACAAGCTGGTACTTCCAGAATTTTCCCCAGGAACATAGATTGGATTTGTTCTAGGGAATGATCCCAGGTCTTTATCCATAAAGGTATGCTGTATAGCAACTGTGGAGCCACTTGAATCAATTAAAGTTATAGTTGAGTTGACCCAGGAAATTCTCACTGATTCAATGGGTGTACTCTAGTCACAACTTACTACTGATTTCAGCCACTGAGTCCATCTAGCTCAATGCAGTCAACTCTAACAGGCAGTGACTAGGGTTCCTAGCGAGATTCTCTCCTACCTCCAACCCATGTTCCCTGGAATTATGTGGTAGTATCCTGTGCAAGTCCTAGCCAAGCCCCATCCTGCTTAATATTTGAAATCAGATTAGATGAATACATTCAGGGAGGTATGATGGGTCATACATTGATTGGAAAGTATTCTGAATACCGATTGCTACACCACCAGCAGTACATGCTGCTTGGTCTGTTGAACAGGGCCTGGGACTTCTGCCACAACATGCTGTTCTGATGGTTTCATACATGATGGAAAATTTACTGTGACACTGACATACAAATTACATTGCCAAAAGGAGCCATTTCAGTTTGCCTAATTGTAAGTTAGGCCTTCTTACAGAACCCTCAGAATGGCTGAAAATTACCTTTCCCTTATAAAACCTGCATTATACAAATTCCTCAATTTTTTTTAAAAAAATTGCTTTCAAAATGTGTAGATACTGCTGAAGAGATTAAGGATAATTTTGATAACGCTGTAATAAAGATGTTCAGCCCAAAGGTGTTCTCCCTCATGGGTCCTTAAATCCCTTCAGCAAAACAACCAAAGTACTGCATACTCTGAGGGAACACTGGGGCAGCATCCAAGAGAAAGGCAAGTTCTCCAGGCAGGGAACTCCCGGGATTAGTATTGAGCCAATGGGAAGCTGGGAAAGACAGTGGCGAATTCATGAATGTGACTCAGGGAATAAATAGCTCAATTATACAATGACCTTTTAATAGCAGCCACATGTTTGTCTTGTGATCCCGCTGAATTTCAGCTTGGACACTTGTCTACATTCTTTTTTGTAAGTGCCAGAATCTCCCACACTGGGTCACAAGTTGCTTAGGTTTTTCTGAACAGGTGGGAGAATTCAATATGACTTTTTGCCAATCCACTATTATAATGTGCTCTACTACTTGGGGAGAGATGCTGTAATGTTACATTAGTTGTTAGGAAATGATGGCCCCAATGACATTGTTTTTTTAGAAGTTACATGAAAAGTAATAACATTGTTTGGTGTAGGGAGCGTCTACTCACTGTACCTAGCATGTTGCCAAAATGTTTACAGTGATTTTTGGCCATTTTTGTGTGATTAAAACAAAAAATTAATTGCAAATCAAACATTGAACAATGTGCAATGGAACGAGTTAGTGCTTTAACAACATTAATATTGACCAGGATCCTATAGGTGTTTATGTAAGACTTGTGGAACATGTTGTGGCTTATTGACAAGGTGCCAAGTATGTTTCACGTGACCAATTGAACAACTGAGATGCATTCCAACACCTTATAAATTAACCACAATTAGCTGTAGCAAGTTACGCAAACCTTATGCAAATACTTATAGGATTCTAGTCAACAAGTAACACTAACAGGGCATTGTTAAAGAGTTAAAAGAAATATATGAAGTTGGAGGATTCAGACCTGCATGTATGCCCAAAACTTGGATCTGACTCATGAAAATATCTATATCTAGAACTTGTCTAAATGAAAACATCTTCAGTCTTACCTCAGTCTGAGTGACATGCATTATGGCATAATGTTGAGGTATGAATAGAAATATTGCTGATGGTGTAATGGGCCGAGCAGCCGGGGATTGCAGGGTCAAAGCTCCAAGGCTTTCTAATGAGCACAGATGATGTAATCTGCCATGATCCTCAGAGCTTAGCTATGGTCCTTTTAAAAAGCTGGGATTTGTATGAATGTGATTTTCCTAGAAATGATATATTGTAGTGACCTGTTCCTAGTTTAATGAAAAGTATTTGGGAATGATGTCCTTGAAGAGGTACTCCAGATGCAGCCACTTTATAAAACTCCTGCTCCTAAGGGAGGTGAGAACTGCTAGAACTCATTTAGTAGTATGGATGAGTGCCTGCACTTCACAATTTACCACTACACTACTAGATAGTGAACTACAGTATTTTATTATGTTTTTCTCCTTACAATAATGCATAAGACTTAGAGCAAAGTGCCCCTATCTCCAAGGAGCAGGTTCATCCATGCAGTAAGTTGACACAACCACTTTTAAGCTAGACCATTCTCATCCCAAATGGTGAAAGTGGAGGAGAGACATAGGCAGGTTGGTAGCTCAAGAGTGGAAGACTTGTCTAAATGCTCACCCTAACTGAGGAGAGAAGAAGCCACTTGAGTTCTCCTTCAGGTGGCAACATTTAGTCAGCTATCACAGTCTCTTCCTTGCACACATTCAGCTTGTCTCTCCCAAAGATTTCTTTCTTGGCATAGTGGTTAAGCTTGGTGTTTCTGCAAATGTGCTGAATTTAATATTGTTTCTGTTTCATACTACATTTTTCAAAGAACCCTAATGAAGTCATTCTGAGCTGGTAATGAATAGGCCTTTCTTTCCCACAGCCCTCCCTTGCCTGGACCAGAAGAAACGGATTAATAATCACAGAACCTGCTGTCTCCTTGGCCTCCCTCCTCCTCCAATACCTCCTCCTCCGCCACCGCTATTTCCTCTATCACAGTTCCAGGGAGCATGGAGTTCTGTAAGCATTGCTTCAAGCATTTCTCTTTCCTGTAATGATGACAGCTTATTCTTCCTTGTGAGTTCGAGGAAACTGTCATGCAGCACAATCCATGGTCAAAGCCTGATGACAAGATTTATTAGGACTGCACAAGAGTGTGCACCGAACGGGGTCCCACTTTTTTTTGGGGGGGGAGATTGTTTGTCCAGGTCTAGTCCTCCTTCTATCTTTAAATCTTTAACAACCACACTGCCCATCATTCTTCTTCGATAAACCTATTTTACCATATCAACAGGTTGGGGATAAAGTTGCCTTTTTTTAAGTGGTTACTTTTGAAGTAGGTTTCCTCCCCATCCCCCGAAGGAGAACTACAAGAAATTTGAGCACCGAATGGCTGTAATCCTATAATCCCTTATCTGGGAGTTGTCCCCATTGAATTCTGGGCTTAACTTCGTGGCTCATTTGGAGTGGGTTAGTACAGGCTAGTTAGGGTCATTTAAGGTCAGGAAGAAATACAGCATAGCATATGTTGTGATCCCCACCTCAACATCTGTTTGGCTTGCCCCCTCTCTTAAGAAAAGAAGAGGGGAAAAATCACCTCCATGACCCCTCTCTATCTCTTTCTGCTTCCAAGAAGGAGCCTTCAGAGTTTTTAAAACATTTTAAAAGGTCAGGGAATCTAACACCTGAACCTCTTCCTACAAGTCGTACAGAACTTTATGGACCTCCAGGGAAAGAAAATCAGAAGCCTGTGCTTGTCCCAGCTGCCATTTATCCCCCAAAAAGGTTAACAATCCCAACTATTTCAACATTCATCTGAGTATCAATGTACACATGTTTTTTCACTGTTGCAATAATTCCAGGCAACATCAGCTTGTCTAATTCTACAAGCTTTATTTACCTATCTTGCTTCTACATTCCACACACACAAAAATATTTAAAAGTTATTGAAAAATGTTTATATGTATATTATCTTAATTGACTGGCAATAGTTCTCTAAGAAAGCCATCCTCAACCTTTTTTGGCCACAACCCTTTTAGGAGCTGTTCTAAGGTTCCAGGGCTCCTCTTAAACAAGGATACAACAGAAGCAAACATCTTTCAGAAACTCCTCACATTTTTCAGTCTATAGCCACCTTCAAATGTGCCACCAGGGGGCCATATAACCTCCACTGAGAATGACTGCTCTAAGGTTTCAGGATGGAGTCTTCTCAGCCTTCCCTGGAGATGCTGGGGATTAAACCTGGAAAGTACTGCATGGAAAACTTGTTTTCTGCCACTAAGTAACCGCTCCTCTGGGGCCCTCTACCATGGGTGGATCCTCCATATGCTTTTGGCCTACATTTCTCATCAGCTTTACTCTAGTCAGAAGTTATGGGAACTGCAATTCAAAGCGTTTGGAGGGTCATTGTTGCCCACCCTGGTGTACAGTAGCTAGCAATCGGTTCTTGCAGTTTTAAGATCTTCTTCTTATCCTCTATTCAAATGTGCTCCATGAAGGATTGACCTAATATTCATATCACAATATAGCATAAGTAGAAAAATAGATGTCAATTTGTCAAGCAAAAGTATCTCCAATTATTGGAATACAAAACTGACCCTATTTCTTGACAGAATGTACTGTGATGCTGTCTAGCTCCTGACAGATTCGTATACAAATCAATTGCAGGTTCATTGAAGTTCTTTCTACATTTTAATACCTCCTCTAGGTCACCCCATCTCATCCACTCTATAATTTACTGGAAATCTGTTGACATTTGACTGCAAGGGAAGGAACATGAACAATAGTTAAATAAAGCAGACATCTTCCTTTTCCCCTTATAACACTCCATCATACCACATTTTAAGAGCTAAGTCAAAATTTGGAGCGTACAGTACTGGGAATAACTCCAGGAAATGAAGTAATGTCCTTCAAATGATTTCCATAAAAATCTGGACAAGATGGAGATTTGCCCCAGCCTGCTTTTATCCATTTTTAAAAGTACGTGTTGTGCAAACCCCCTACGTGATTGTATTGATTAATTATAGAGAAATGTGCTTTGGAGTAACTGATGTAATCTTCTGTTTTCTCTTGACTTGAGGATAAACAACAGTATGTTTTATTATGTGCTGCTGATTTACAGTAGCTGACGTGATTTGTGAATATGACAAAATTTTAACCTCTCCTAAAGGATGAAAGATCTAGTTTTTTCTGTTGCTTCATGTCTATATTTGTATGCAGTTATTGTCACCAAACATGGGTAGTTGAGTAAGAATAATTTGTAAAGTCTCTTTTCTTTTATATATGTGAAGATTCTCAGTCATCTAGGCATAGTTACCAGTATTTGGAAGTTGAGTCATGGCAACTGGGTTTCTTTCTTGTTAGGATGAAACATTTTGCTATTCATCCAAGCAGCTTCTTCAGGCTGAGGAGTGTTGGTGGGAGATCCCTGATATATACTCCATGTTGGTTTCACTTCCCCCTGGTCTGAGTAGGCTAGTTAGAAGGACAAAGGACTGGGGTAAGGGATAATCCCACCTCTGCAGTCCTTCTCCACCCATTGTCATGGGTCATTAACAGTGATCTTTCCTGTGTGTGTCCCTAATCTTTCTGGGGAGGGATGAAAAGGCAGCATGATAAATAGGAGACAGATTGTATCTAAGGCCTCCACCCCTGATCAGTGAGAAATTTTCTGTATGCATATGTATGATTTCCCTGACTCCTCTCTCTCAAACGTCTATCTTCTCTCTTCCTTTCTTTAGCCATTTTTTAAATTGCAGTTAGATGGCGGAACTAATTTAATTCAGGGTTTGTGTTAATCTCCTGGGAGATATCTTTTCTTGCTGATTTTGCAAGGAGAAGATTTTGGCTTCTTATGGATGCATCAGATGTATTGTTCATCATTATAGTGGAACACATACAGTTTTTGTTGCACTATAATCCATCTAGATTGGTAGAAGGAGCTACTCCCGGACTTAACTCTGACTTGTAAATTGTGCTATGGACAAAACATATTTACACATTTTGACGGAGGTGAATGAAAGAATATAAGAAGAGATGCATTGATTTATCTAGTCCAGCATTCTGTTCACACAGTGGCCCACCAGCTGTGTAGTGGAGGCTCATAAACAAACAGGAGGGAAATAACAGTGTCTTGCTCAAGTTCCCCAGCAACTGGTATTTAAAGGCATGCTGCTTCCAATATTAGAGATAATATACAGCCATTCTGACTTTGTTTGATTGATGGATGTAATATGCTGCCTATCTCCCAGAACTGAGACCCAAAGCAGCTAGTAGACTTTGATAGTTTTATCCTCAATATATTGCTGATACACCTTTTTGCAATAGCGCTGTGCCCGGGGAACACAGAACCTGAGAAATACAGAGGAATAAAATACACACATAGTTATATAAGAATCTATGTCATAGTGAGCTAGGCCATTGATCTGTCTAACTGGGTATTGTCAAATCTAGCTAGAAGCAATGGCTCTGCAAAGCTTCCGGCAGGATTCTTTTGTAGTCCTACCTAAAAACTGCAGGCATTTTTGTTGCTTTTCTGTCCAAGTATTAACCAGGTCTAAGTCCTGCTAAGCTTCCAAAATTAGACAAGATTGGGTGTAATCAGAATGATATGATAGTTAATCCTTGATGATTCTGAGATTGATAAAAGTGACTTATAAGTGTATCATCAAAAAACTCCTTTTATGCTACATTGTCTCATAATCTCTCTCTCTCTTTCAACTTCTTAGATGTTGCTGGATCTGGATTGGAACCACTTATGTCAAGAGCTTCAGATAACAGACTCTCCGTGTATAGAATCTGTATGCCTTCCAGGGCCTCCTGGTCCCCAGGTTGGTATTTCCTTTTAGAATGGACAAAATGGAATCCTATGGACTGTTTTCCTGGTATGTGCTATTTCCAGACAGTGAGAGAGATCAGGAATGACATGGTGGCAGGAAAACAGGAAAGACTGCTAAGAAAGTTATTTTGTTACGTTAAAGACGCTCATGTGGCAATCGTTTGTTTAACTTATTTGCCTTGTGTCATCATCACAGGTAAAGTCAATGTGGATAGAATGAATTCCTGGATATAAATGTAAGCCGTTCTATATGGTGATACTCTTGGGCTCTCTAAATTGTACATTTTGAATCCATGACCTAAATGGATTATTTGTAAAATAATAATAGAACTGCACAGTGGATCATTGAGTCCAGCCTGTCAAAGAAGCACAATGGGGGGATTGACCTCCCAATATTTGGCTCGGCCGCCAGATACCTAAACCACTGAGCTAGCCTTGTGTTTCATTCCCATTACTCTGACTGCACAACTATCTGGGGTTGCTTTTAGTTGTGGATAGAAAATCCTTGAGCTTGAGTTTTGAGTAAGCAAGCTCAGAGCCACTTGTCATTTTCTGTTAAGATGTCTCCACCTCAGAGAGTCCATCTTCATCAAAGGAGACAGTGCTCCCACATCACCTCTTAATTCTTCATCTCCCACTCCCCCTAATTTATTACTTTTATATTCTGATTAGTCTGGGTATAGGTCTCCAGCACTGTGATAGTAAAAACACAACAGAAGCTTTTTAATGTGTTTCCCCCTGTAGCAGAAGCATCTCACTCAAATATACTTTACACTGTATCTGGATTACTTACGATAAACAGAAGACTTTTAATGGGGCTAAGTATATTACACTGCTTCCATCTGGTACCGTTCAACATGACATAAAACAAGGGTAAGAAATGCTCAGCTCTTCCTCTTCTGAGACATTTTGCATTATCAGGAATGGATTTTCAGAAGTATGTTTTCCAGTCTGTGTAATAAAAACAGGCTGACTGGACAGCTCAGTGAGAAAAATGGCTTCGATTCCCCTCTGCACTTCCTGCACTGTTGGAATTCTGTGTGTACTAATATTGAACAGGATGCAGACCTAACAAATTTGTTTCAGTCTGCATTTTCATGGTCCACTCTGGGGAGGGAAATGGTAATTCATAAAACTTCATGCAGAAATGAATCTGCTAGCCTTCACTTTTTCTTTTGGTTTTCTCTCCCTTTCCCCATGCCCGCCAGTGTAGTTTATGACTTGCTAACCTGAAATTTGGGTGGAAAGAATCCCTAAATACATTGTTTTTATGCCTTAACATCTGCTTAATCTATGCTCAGATGAGTCAGAAAGCAGGTTAGAAAACCCAAAGCTAGAACCCCAAGTGGTGTGAGAATCAGAGTAGAGTTGGTTGGACATGCATCATCCACTTGTTGCTTAGTGTGGAGATTATAAAGGAGGCCACCTCTGCTGCCTGCATGATGTCCCCAAGTAGCTATCTGTAGCATCCTCCTCCCAGAATGGTATGTTAAAACTCTCAGATTCACAGTTACGCCAGGCATAACTGAAGATGTCTGCCTGTATATCCCATGTATGTCTTGCCTGCCCTCTAATGAACTCAAGTTGGTCTTTGTAGCTTTTCTCCTTGTCCCTTTACCTTCACAACAATCCTGCAAAGTCAACCATGACTGGCCCCAAAGTGTGTTGCAACTGAGTGGGGATTTCAGCCCATATCTCTTCTGTCCTAACCCAATGTTCTGACCACTATCCCACCCTGATTGCCTCTTTTAAAGAAAAAATGCTTGCATCTATTCAGACTTGGGGTCTGCTATTAACACCATGCAAAGATAGGTATCCAATGCATACTCCCATCATGTTCCCAGCTGCAGGGGACTGGTTTCCATTTTTGAAGCCTTAGGATATGGCTTCAGATCCCCCATGTGCTCTCTTGACCTTTGTCCATCATAGGTTATTCAGGGATGAGTTGACCAGCTGCATCCATGGACTGGTTAATCTTAGACTGTGGATTGGACCCACAGCACCTTAGCTTTGAGTTGAGCATTGTTCAAAAAGGTCAGTGAACTTCGGGAATGCAGAGAGGAGAAGCAAGGGCTGTGCCTCTTCTCTTCATCTGGAGGCTATCAGCTGAGCACACAGTGGTTATGGGGGTTGCAGTAGTGGCAGGTTTGTGCAGACTGGGTGTCAATGCTGGCCTTCTATCTCAGCCTTATACCATCTGGATAGAATTGATCTTGATCACCTTGATGGATGATCATTTTCAAGAGAAGATGTAAGGTGGCCTGGAGATGGGTCTGTTCTAGCAATAGTTAATATATAAGGGTATAACACTGATCAGAGTGGTGGAAACACCCTCCTTTGCTCCAGTGATAACTATAGACCTAGAGCTTCGCACTGATCTCTTAAGAGGATGTTCTAGAAAATAAACATTACAAGAACTTTGAGTGGATGCCTCCCATACTTCCTGATCTGTTGAAGAGAACAGAGGCTTAGTTTCTATATAGAAACAGAATACCACCCTTAAATAAGGAAGATAAGCAGTAAAGAATAATGTGAACTATATATTACTTATGTTAAAAATGGAATGCTGTGATATCATTAAATTTTAGTAAGTAAAATTATTGCCCTTGGTCATTTGGAAAAGCTGGAATAATAAATATATTGCTTTGTAAGGTGTCACTTCCAAATTCTACCTAGAAGTTATGCTTTTTGGGTGCTACATGGTACCAATCTGTTCCCAATCGATTTAACATCTATGTCACACATATACACATGTGAGAAGTCATTAGGAGATTTGGGGTACAGTGCCATCATCATGGTGATGACAACCAACACTATTTTGTTCTTACAACTGAATCAGGTGAGGCCGCACATGGCCTAAACTGGTACAGTGGACCCTCTACTTACGGAATTAATCTGTATTGGAATGGTGGCTGCAGGTCGAAAAGTCTGTAGGTCGAGTCTCCATTGACCTACAATGCATTGAAAACCGATTAATCCCGTAACCGGCTGTTTTTGTTCCATTTTTGTTCCATTTTGGGTTTTTTTCTGGTCTGTAGGTTGAGTCTCTGGCTGCAAGTCGAACCTAAATTTTGCAGCCAGAGAAGTCTGTAACTCAAAAGGTCTGTAAGTCGAGCCGTCTGTAAGTCAAGGGCCCACTGTACCTGAACAGCAGTGGTGGGAAGGATAAGGACAAATACTGTAATCTAATGCTGTATCCTTATAAAACATAGATTGTGTTCGTGAGTGGTTTCATGATCTGGGACTGGGAGAGTTACAGAATCTGGAGTGTACTACTTTTGGAAATGCTCTTGGATCTGTTTTTGTCATCAGAGGTTCAAGCACCCTTGGTGACAAAGAATGATGGTTACCAGAATAGGCTACTCCCTTTCCTAGGCAGGGTTAACTTGGTTACTTTGGGTCCTGTTTTGGTATTCTCACAATTGAACTACTGTAATGTGCTCTTTGTGGGGCTATCCTTGACAGTAAATAGTGCTAAGTGCAACAGCTACAGTATTGAAAGAAGCTGCAAACATATTACATCTACAGTATGCCAAAACTTTGTTCACTAGCTGAAGTAATAACTAGAGTGGACCCATTGGATCAATGGAACATATGGACAAGTTGACTCATCAAACTGTCATACTTTCAATGGGCCTCCTCTAGCAGTAGCTTATTTTGCTAAGCAATTATATATTTTGCTAAGCAATAGAACTTCAGCCACTGGTGTCTCTCCTCTGAAATTCCCTCCTTTGTTATTTAGAAGGCATCAACAGTAGCTTGCTTCCAAAACATACCTCTTTACACAGGCTTTATCTGACAACTAGCATTGATTCTGCAGTCTTACATTTTGATATATTTTGATTGATTGATTTAACTTATATGCCACCTACACTACCCAAAGGTCTCTTTAATCGTTTATGATATTTGTATTACTGAAATTTGTGCAATATGATTTAATGTTGTGACGTCCTTTGATATTTTGTAATAATGCATGATATTAAAATGATAAATAATGAATAAATATGAAAATAATGAGATTTCCATGTATTTGTGGAACAGCAATAATAATTCTCTAAGTAGTGTATGAGAGGATAATCAATGTGGGGGAGGGAAACCACAGTTTCAGTAAGACAGAAAATCATTTATAACAACTATAAAACAAAACAAATAATTTAGAGGAGATGAAAAATGCAGTAAATATCAATAATACAGGGAGATAAAATGAATAATTTCAGAATAAAAGAAAATTTTAATAAATTGGTTTGGAGATGGTTCATAACACCGGTGAAACTGAATTACAGTGGTGCCTCGCTTAATGAATGCACTGTTTAACGATGAATCCGCATAGCAACGCTTTTTTGCGATTGCTAATGCGATCACATTGCGATGATTCCAGTGGGTGAAAATCGCATTGCGATGATCGGTAAGCATTTCGCTTACCGATCTTCGCATTGCGATGTTCTAAAAACAGCTGATCGGCGGTTCCAAAATGGCCACCGGAAGAATAAAATGATCACCTGCAGCGTTTTCGCGCCCTGCCCTCGCTTACCGAGGTGGCGAAAATGGCGGCCGGATGGGGAATCTTCGCTTACCGGTGAGTTTTCACCCTATAGTAATGCATTAAATGGAGTTTAATGTGTTCCTATAGGGTTTTACATTCCGTATAGCGATGTTTCCAGATAGCACATTAATCCTGGAACAGATTAACGTCGCTATGCGGAGCACCACTGTATATGGATAAAAAAAATACTCCCAAGATATTTGGAGATGTGAATAAGAGGTTGGAACCTACTTCCACATGTGGTGGCAATGTGAATATATAATTAAATTCTGGAAATTGTTTCTTAAAGAAATAAGTGAAACATTAAATTTTAATTTCAGAATGTGTCCTAAAACAGCAATTTTACTGATTTTTGAAAGGGGACAATGGAAGTCAACAATGAAAGAACTGATTTTAAATTTAGTAACAGCAGCTAAATAGCAAAGAACTGGAAGGTTAAGTGTGATCTCCAACTAAATGTGTGATATAAAGAAGTGTGCAATATAGCTATTATTGATAAATTATCATTAACATGCACAATTACAGTAAGAAGAGGAATATTCAATAAGAATGTATTTGGAAATATTGACTTTGTATTAACAATGGGGAAGGGTTGTTTACCTTCACAAGAGTCAATGTATTTTTGGAAAGTGAATAGAACTAGTGTTCCTAGTGAGGGAGAGTGCAGTACTGTACATATTTATGTAGGTATTTTTTTTTTAGGCAAAAATCAAGGCAACTGTTGCTTTCAGATCAGGTGTTTACACTGAAAGCCTCTGGCCATGCTGGCAGTGGGATTCTTTTTATATTAATAAAAAATAAAAATAATTTTAAAAAATTATTTCAATAATTTTCACAGAGCTAAAATTATAATGCTGAAACATGACCTAAAGCCACAATTCACAGATTTCAGTTTTTGGATGTGATTGAATCATACGTTCCTGTGCTTTACTTCTGCCATTTCTTTACAGAATTTCATCTGTTTTCCTAACATTAAATTGCTCCCCACCCACATAAACTCCAGTAGCTATGCTTAGTGTTTCCCTTCTTTCTCTATCAATGGATCTATTTATCTGCTTCCTAAAGCCTGATGGGGCTGAAGTGCTTACAGCTGAAGATTTAATCAAGCCAGAGCAGAAGAGACAGATCTGAAACTCATGATCTCAATTGGATTAGCATTTCCATCCAGTTTGGAGGCAGACTAGAATAGGTAAAACATGGTATAGATTCCTTTGAAGAAACAACAACAACAACAACAACAACAACAACAACAACAACAACAACAACAACAACAACAACAACAACAACAACAACAACAACAACAATAATGAGGGGAAAAAGCAGATTAGTACAACAACAAACAACAATAATGAGGGGAAAAAGCAGATTAGTCTCAAGGTCCTGATGAAAGATGGTAAGACCAGCAAACAATCAGATGACATGTATTATATGAAAAAATTAAATTTTCTTTTCTCTTGTCTTTTACATAGGGCCCACAAGGTATTCCTGGTGCAAGGGGACCAAAGGGGGCAAAAGTAAGTGACAGGATTGTTTTCTTAACAACGAATAATTGTGATTCTGTGGATATATTTTTATATATGTGTGCATTCATGTAATGAGATGGTGAAGCCACCTCTGGATACTTTGGTGCCTGAGGTGAAGGGCCAAGATGACATTCTCCCAATGCCAGGTACAGCAGAGAACCAGACTGGCAGTTCAGTTTTACCTCAATTTTGGCCACAGGACAACATCCTCCAGCACACCTGAAGTAAACTGGTACAGGAGTCAGACATAGGACAAGCTATGGAACACATGCATTTCTGATCTTCAGCACCTTGGCATTGCCTCAGTTTAGCACATGCCATCTGTGGCAAACCCTTTGCTCTGCCTAATGGCAGAGTTGGCTCCACTTGAAAGCATTTCACTGACCAGTTCCGAAATGCAGATTGCTTATGGGCTGTGATGGCTGTACCAATAATCCTTATTAAACCAGAAGGACACACAAATAAAATGTATAGGGGCCAACTCTCCACATTGGTTCCTCATGAATGTATTTGTGGTCTCCCTGATTTTTCTCCAGATGTCTTTGGCCTTCCACAAAAGACAACTCAAAGCTCAGTTGAACCTATTTTCCACCTTGCTCCTAATAACAGCAAAGCTAGCATTCATACATGTAAAGGCTGCCTGCCATTGGTAAAATAGATAGGTGGGGGTGGGTGGAGGGACAGATGACTGAGGCATACCAGAGCCTCCCTTACCCTAATGGACAAGCCACCATGGCAAATAAATAATCATGGAAATACCAGCATGTTGTGTAATTTCCCCTTTAAAAAGGGCCAGATGAGCACTGCAAATTGTTCTAGCTCATTGCTTCTGTCTTATACTAATGTATTATTTCCTCTGACAGGGTGAGATTGGCAGACCAGGAAGAAAGGTAAGGAATAAATCACAGAAAACCCTTTAATACCACTTTCCCCCAACTGAATGCCTTCTAGATCACATCTAATTCAGGTTATAGCTGTTATGTACTGCTGTGTCTTTTTACTTACCTTTTTTTAAAACTGTCTTAAATATTAGTTAAATTTGAATTTCAATAGTAAATATTATTTAAAACTTAAAACATAGATTTGTATTTCAATTGTATTTGTTTTTACCTGAATTTTACTTTTATTATTTGCCTTGAGTGCCATTTCTTTGCAAAATGGCATAAGTTTTTTTAAAGGCTGATTAACTGGCTGCTAAATGTGAGCAATAAAGTGTTTGTTTTATTTTATTATTTATTTCATGTATTCACTTTATATCCTGCCCCCTTTAGTGTCATAGCACTATTCAGGGCAGGTTAAAGAAGCCATACATAGCAGTCCTTTCCCTGGAAGGCAGTATGATATGCCACAGAGATGCTTGAAAATATTTATGAATATGTATTAGCTTTCCCCATATTAGTACCTTCCGCATGTGTTAGACTAACAACACCCATCATCCCTGGCAAGTTGCCATGCTGTTTGGGTATGGTTTATATCGTAGTCCAACGCAGCTGGAAAGCACCATGCGACAGGATGTTGGTCCAAAGCTGTTTCCAGGTTGTTGCGAGAACTATTATGAACAATGTCTGCATGACTCATTTTCCTCCCTTCCCATCACCACATCCCCCTTTCCTTTTAAAATGTGCTTTTTAGGTTTTCAGGATATGGGCAGGGGTTCATTTTGTGTGTATTGATTTAATATAAGTCATGTAGGAACTTTTTTGGACTGACAGCCGGGTACAACAGCCAGAACTCCATTACTTACAAACAGCAGCAAATTGTTGCTAGTTAAGAAGCTAACGGCTCTGTCCCTCATCTTGTGCCAAGTCATGACTGTATAACAAGGAACGTAAGTGCTGACTCCTTAACTAGCAGCAATTTACTTATAGTATACATAATAGGATTCTGACTCTCCCTCTCCCTCTGTGTGTGTGTGTGTGTGTGTGTGTGTGTGTGAGATGAGAGAGAGAGAGAAAGAGATTCTAATACAAATTAAACATTCATTAGTAATTTTCTGGTGTAAAACTTTTGTTTTGGCTTTTGCAATAATTAAATATTTTTCTGTCTCTTGCATGTATGGAACTCAAGGACATTAGACCTAATTTTTCTTTTCCCTCTCCCCTTTTCCATTTCCTGTCCCCGCTTCACTCTTTTTTTTGAAGGGCAGCCCAGGTCCTCCCGGTGCTCCTGGAATGCCTGGACCTATTGGATGGCCTGGCCCAATGGGGCCTACGGTAAGAGGAAGGAAGGGCTTCTTGTATGGTAACATTTGTACTGTAAATGAAGTTAATTTAATTTTGTCAAAACCAACTCAACCTGCCTAACACCTTTTATTAGAATAAGCTTTCATGGGGCATCACCTGGTCAACAAAAGATTATGCCATGTAAAATGGGCTAGTCTCTAAGATGCCTCATGACTCTAAGTTGTTGCTGTTGTTTTAAGTAAATCTACCAGAACCCCAGAGCCAGTGCAATCATGGACATACTGGCTGGAGAATTCTGGGAACTGAGGTCCAATATGAGCATTTTGATGTTCTGCAGTTTGGTTGCTTGATTTGAAGAACAGTTCTCTGGCTGAGAAAGCCCAGAAGACTGCATTACAGTCAGTCTGCAGAGCCTGGCTGCAGCGCTTTTCCAGGATGCCTACTTTCCCATTCTCCCAGGGATTATAAGGACAGCAGGCCCCATAGATGCCAAGAGAGATTGCTGCCAATACATCTGGAACGTCAGTAACAAATAGCTGCCAGGCCACATTTCTGAGTGGCCAAGTCTCCCAGAGGATTGCTAGTAATATGTCAGTTGAAATTAAGAAGCAAGTGTGATGAGCCAGAACTCTAGAAGACAAGCAAAGTGTTTCACAAAGTGTAACAACAGTCAGCCCAACCCAACTGCCAATACAAGCAACTGCTCTAGCCATCAGATTTCAGAAAGATCCAGACCCCTTAGTAAAATATAGCAAGGATGAGATATACTCATCTGCTGTAGGACCTTGGAGCAACAGATTCTGATGATGGGACCAGCTGTATCATACCCTCTAATTATGGGAGGATGGAAATGATTGACAATTAGATAAAAAGATACAAATAACAGAGGAAGGAATAGGCTGTGCCCTCTTGCTAAGGCAGCAAAATTGATACTTGCCAACTGCAGAGGTAAAAATTGAGCCAGTCCTGCTGTGTAACTGATTCCAGGTCCTCCATCGTTGTTACTTAAGCACCTTAGGCACGTAGGATGTGAGGAGATGATGCACTGCTTAATCATTTATACAGAAAGATGCTAGGAGTTGTCGTTCAAAAAAGTAAACGGTGCCACCTCTGAGTTTTATGGGAAGAACTGCTGAGACACTGCATGCTTCAAAAAACGAATTGTCACTCATCCCAGTTACCACCACCTTGCACTGGCCACAACAAATAACTCTCTTTATTGACCCCCTATAGGGTGAAAAGGGAGATTTAGGTTTGATGGGATTGCCAGGTACAAGAGGACCAATGGGCCATAAGGTTTGTTCACCCAGATGCTATGTTATTCTTCTCTGGCTTGTAACCACTGCTTACAGCTGCTTCATTAGCTGAAATGCGCTTGTATATATCAATGCAGACAGCGGAGGTGTTTATTTCATGAGGGATAATAACAGAACATATAGGTTTCTCTTTTTCTGTGGATCTAATGTACAAACTAAAAAGAAATGCTAGTAAGTTGTTATCTACCTTCTTTTTTTAATTAAACATCTTACTGCAGTCTAATATAAGATAATTTATTTATTATTTATTTATTTATTCTATTTCTATCCCGCCTATCTGATCATATTAGACCACTCTAGGCGGCTTACAATAAAAACAGGATAGTAATTTTAAGACATTACAGCTGAATTGAAAATCCAAGCCCACATGTCTGTGCCCAAAAATCCAGAATGACAACATGAGCAACTCCATATCCCAAAACATGCTTTAATTTCTCCCCCTCAAAATGTCCTCTTTGCTCTCAGGAGCCTGTGGGGACAATTTTGTGATATTGCAATTCATCTGCCAGCCAGAGCCTGGAGGCCTTTACACTGCAATAGAAGAAACAATTAAAAACATTGTTCGGTCACTAGAGGTCATAGCTGGTCTTCTCAGGTTTTTTTTTAATTCAAAGAATGGGGCAAGGGTGGGGCCCACAGGTGCAGCCTTCCATGATCCAGGGATGGGGCTTTGTGCCCCCTCAACTTTTGGAGCTTGCCTACCATCAATATACACTGTATTTGAATTAGGCCTATCATCCAATGCCAGTAATGCATAACTGGGACCCTGTGTCTGTAGCCTGCTTCTACAGGTAGGAGTAGAAAGCGCCATGCAGTATAGTGGAATGAATTGTCCTATGTAATTCTAAAAAGCCAAACAAAACAGCCCTCCAATAATAAGGTGAAGATTGTTAGTCAAAGATTGTCTGATCACCAAGGGACAAAACTAGAAGGATTTTTAATACTACAGTATACCTAGTTGAAATTTGTCTGGAGCCAAGTTCCTTAAATTATGATATGTGACTGCAATGATACTTTCTAAGGGTTTTAAAATCTTAAATGTTGCTGGGAGTTTCTGAACTGGAAATCCACTGAAAAACAATATTAAAGAAACTCATGTTTGCTAACTAAAAAAAAAAAAAGAAACAGCTTTGGGAAATGGCAACAGGAATTTTATTCTCATATACAGGTACTCTGCTTTCAGTTCAGTAATTGTGCTGGTAGTTATATTTGCCCTCTGCTTTCTTCTTAATTTCTGAAGCAATATTAAACAAGAGTAGCATGTTTGATACAGACAACCCATGACATTATACTGCCTGAGGCAAAACAGCAAACAAGGCCTCTGCCACTCAGCAAAAATTATGATGCATATTGCTGAAAGCCAGCCAAATTGTTTTGAAATACAGTATGAGGTCAGAAATGGAGATAAGAAATAGCCCATAATTAGAGTTGAAAGCACATTAATGTTGCAGAAAGGTGATTGAAGCAGTCTTTTCCTATCCGTGAAATCAGATCTCAAAGGAATCCCATGCTTAAGTCCTGAAGACCAGTCATCGATAGTGGGAGCTGGTTTGTGTAATGGATATTTGAGGAGCTCTTACTATGACACATCCATTCACATAACCTAAGGATTTCCCATTTCCAGTGATGGGCTATCTCTTACGTCTGTTTCTGGCCTAAGACAGAATATTCTGCAATCACCTCTCTTAATACATGTCTCTAAAAATACCTGTATAATAATAACAAAGTGCATAATTAATAATTTGCTGTGCTTTCTTAATACCCAGATCTGCTGTCTGCTGTGGTTGCCTCACTCTGCCTATGATGGGGCCAGCCCTGATGCTTGCAATGTGTGACTATGGTTATTTTTCTCATGCTGGCTTGGAGGCTGCAATGTGTTGCTCTCACTCACGCTGCATATTCTGATTTGTAGTTTCTTTGGAAGGCTATAAAGGAAAGTGTGGTGTTGTTTTCTCATGCTTTCTTTGAAGTTCATATGTGGGTCACATTAAAATCACTGTCCTTTTTTCTAGGGTTACCCAGGAAGCAGAGGAGAAAAGGTTGGTGATACAGAGATGTCTTAGTTTAATTACTTCAACCACGGTAATCTATGCTTCTCAGACCAAAAGGAAAAGGAAAAAATGTGGGGGAGAAGTAATATGTTGATGAGTTCAAGATGGCAGGACCTGAGCCACTTATGCATGGCACCCAACTGTTTGTTCCCAAGCTGCTCATAAAGTTCTTCAGTGGGCATTGTTGGCATCTGTGTGCAACATCCTCAGGTGCCATGTGATATCCCCTGCCTCCTATAAAGAGCTTCCACTAGCTTCCCTGGGCTTCCAGAGTTAAGCATCCATTCAGATTTACTACAGTGCCTTGGAGTAATGCAATGTTAGGTACATGAAAGCATTGTGAGAAGTTCAAAGGCTCAGGTGCCTGGTTCTTAGCAGAGTCATGATAGTATTGTGTAGGCGCCTCCAGCAGAAATCATCATAACCCTAAGTGTGCCTGGGCCTGGTTTATATAATCACAGAAGTTTACTAGCACTAGCCTTGGCTCAATCGTCTCTTGCCCTGTGCCACCAATTAACAGCACCAGAGTTTGGGGTTCTATATATAATCTGTCCTACTCATAGTCCCTTCAAGATCCTGAAGATGGGAGCCTGGAGAAGTGAGGGCCAGAACACCCCCATGGCAATAAGTTCAGGGCATGTGGTGTATAGACAGTCTTGGCAGAGTGTGGTTCTTGTCCGGCAGCATCTGCTGCTCCTTTTGCATCTGGTGTTGGCACTTCTTTTGCTGCTTCCTCCGTCTGTATCTCAGTTGAGTGGAGTTTAGTTACACTGTCCATGCCCTAGTTTGGCACCTCTGACTGGGTTGGTCCCAACGTTATCTCCAGTAGTAAGGATGTGGCAGTAGGCTTGGATTCTGGTACTTCTCTCCTTTTTTGGGGGGGGATCCTCAGATGGACCTGGACCCCTCACCAGGATTATTCTTTTATTTCATACATTCTCCCTCAGGCTCAAGGTCTTCCTCCTCCTCCTCCTCCATGTTATATGTGTAGACTGAACATCACCCCATGCCCCTTTCTCTCCTCCCTCTGAGGGATCATTGTTCCTACATAGACAAGAAGTGATATGTATCTATAGCTTTTTTGAGTGGTGGCAATCCTTCTATCACATCCCTTATCCATCCTCCAGGGAGACAGTGTACATGGCGAGTCCATGGATTCTCCTGGCATATTTCAGACTCAATTCCACGTAGTATTCATTAGTATGTGATTAGAGGTATATTGCCTCTGATACTGGAATTAACATGTGGTACCTTTGCCTCTGCTATTGGGGGGGGGCACTATCATGACTATTAACCACTGATAACCTTATCCTCTATGAATATATGAAGGCCAGTAATTATGGAAGATAAAGGGTCTAGACGTGTTCTGTATTATAAAAAAATGTTGTGTACATTTCTTCATTCTGCACTTTTGAATTTCTGTGTTTTGTAAGCTTTTCTCTCTCATGTGGGTTTCTGCAGGGAGCTCATGGAGAAAAGGGTGTCAAAGGCAGCAAAGGTGACAAGGTAAAATTACCTTTATAGAACATCTAAGTGGTGCTTAATAGAGTTTCCTCTATTATTATATTAATGGAATGGGTACTGTGCTATCATTTATGGGATGATTTAGCACAATTCTATATTCTAATGCAATGATATAGCCATTGAAAATAGGATTACAGACGCTGCTCCTCATTCAGATTGTATTGCTTTAGCACTATATTGTTTTAGAATAATGTCATTCCTCTCTTGAAAATAACATGGGGCTTAGAAAAATCAGATTTAAATAAGAATATAACATGTAAGTGAATGTTTACAAATTATGCCCTTATGTTAGTGAAGAATGTAGAAAATGGGATTATAGGCTATGTTCCTTATTGAGATTTAAATGTATATAGATTCATGCTATTTTGAAGATATCATAATGAAAATATCTACAACGTGTTATAAGAACTGGAATCTGATGAAGAACAAAACTATAATCCCATTTGCAAAATCTTCAGGATTTAAAATGGTACTTTAATGTTTTAAATTTGGATAACCCAGCACTGGTTGTTCAGAGAGACAGATTAGGTTAAATCTCAAATTAAACATCTGTGCTCTTAGTGTATTCCACTCATGAAATGGCCAAATGTGTGAGTAGTTAGACTTTTAGTATCTTGTGGAGCCTTGTTCTCTTCAATGAGATGATCTTAAGCGTGCAGGCTGTATATTTCGAAAGTGAGAAGGTTACTGGCCTAATTGACTGGATTTTATAGTTAGTTTATTTATAGTTTGTAATCCATCTTGAAGGTTGAATGACAGAAAAGTAGCATATAAATATTCTGAATGAAGGCAACTTTGCATGCATTACAAAAATATAAACTATACAGCACACACATAACAAAAATCAAACTTTGTTAACACTTGTTGTTTATGCTTAGATTGATAATAAAATGTCAGGGTATATTTGATTGACGTTCTACTGAATTATAATATGTATTTCTGCTGGATGTAGCTAGAAATATCTGTCTGTGAACAACACAATTTTCAAATGTGTTGTATAGCTTACAATATATAAAAGCATTTGCTGGAAAAACTGATAGACTGCTTGATTAAGCAATGAAACAGTAACTTTCTCTCTTTTTATATTTTGTTGATATAAAAGCTATAATGATTCACTGAAGTTACACACATTCTCTCTTTCTCTCTCTCACACACACATTTCATAATGATTCACTGAACTTACATACATTCTCTCTCTCACACACACACACAATTTCCTTGCAGGGATACATAGGTTTTCCTGGAATGCTGGGACAAAAGGTATGTGCCTAAGATGCAGAAGAATCTCATATTATTCCTCTGATTGGTTGCTGTTGGTGTTAAGATCTCTGAAACTATTTACAATGCAATTATGTACATTTTAACTCAGAAATAATTTCTACTTGATTTGGTGGGGCTTACATTCATATTAATGTATTAGTGTGTTTACGGCTGTAGAAAGTTCAGTTAAACTATTTGGACTTTCTTCAAAACAGACATATACATAAGGTAAAAGGTAAAGGTAAATGTTCCCCTTGACAATTTTTGTCCAGTCGTGTTCGACTCTAGGGGGCGGTGCTCATCCCCGTTTCCAAGCCATAGAGCCAGCGTTTTGTCCGAAGACAATCTTCCGTGGTCACGTGGCCAGTGCGACTTAGACACGGAACGCTGTTACCTTCCCACTGAGGTGGTACCTATTAATCTACTCGCATTTGCATGCTTTCGAACCGCTAGGTTGGCGGGAGCTGGGACAAGTGACAGGTGCACACTCCGTCACGTGGATTCGATCTTACGACTGCTTAGTCTTCTGACCCTGCAGCACAGGCTTCTGCGGTTTAGCCCACAGCGCCACCACATCCCCTTATATACATAAGGGCATATTGTTAAATTCACAAGTGAAATGTGTTTTTCTTCTAAGGCTAGGAAGCCAGGACCCATAGATAATTTTAACAGGTTCCCATCATTCTTGATTTTCCCAATAAGGCATTTAAACATTTTCCAGCCACTGTAGCAAAGATCAAAAAGACTCAAAATAAAAACCTATAGAAGCCATGAGGATTCCTTTTAGGTTACATTACTTCTTCAGGATCAGGAAGAATTCAAATAGATCTCTATCACTAGATTACTGATGTGCAAATTCAATTTTCCCTATGCTATTAAAAAATATCTAATTCTAATTTTCTGGCAAATTTGTCTCCATATACATAGTTAAATGGAGGGACGTGGTGGCGCTGCAGGCTAAACTGCAGAAGCCTTTGTGTGCTGCAGGGTCAGAAGACCAGCAGTCGTAAGATCGAATCCACGTGACGGAGTGAGCTCCTGTCGCTTTGTCCCAGCTCCTTGTCAACCTAGCAGTTCGAAAGCATGTAAATGCAAGTAGATAAATAGGTACCATCTCAGTGGGAAGGTAAACAGAGTTCCGTGTATAGCAGCGCTGGCCATGTGACAATGGAAACTGTCTTTGGACAAACGCTGGCTCTACGGCTTGGAAACGGGGATGAGCACTGCCCCCTAGAGTCAAACACGACTGACTAAAATGTCAAGGGGAACTTTTACCTTTTCATTGTTAAATAATTGTAAGTAAGCTGTTGTCATTTCCTGTTGATCTTGACAAGGCTTTCCTATTCTTGTCAGTTATTGGAGAAAAGGCAGGCAGGAAGGCTTGTGGCACCATTCATGCCATAGTTTGTGAAGAAAACCTATTAGCTGTCATCAGAATTAATTGCTTAATTCATTGCTTCCTGTGCACTGAGCGCTAGGAGTGCTCCATGGGTTGAGCCATCCTGGTCAGACTATAGGCCACTCATGCTTACTCCCCAAAAGCTTCTTCCAAAGTATGGTAGGAAGCCTATGAGCCAGGTATGGGGACTTAAGTCACAGGACTTGCTGTCAAGTCAGACTTAAGTCATACTAGTGACTTGACTTTGACTTGACTCAGCTTTTTTTCCCCCAATGACTTGGACTTGACTCAGAACCCACCCATCCTTCCCTTTTTTTCTGGGGGAAAAGAGCTTGTTTTTAATAGGGACAACAAAAAGAACAAAAGACACAACAACAACAACAACAACAACAAACAACAACAACAACAACAACAACAACAACAACAACAACAACAACAACAACAACATTTCAGGACACTTGGATTTTCACAGGAGTTTTTGTTTCCAAAATAAGAAATCTATTTAACAATAGATTTAACAATAATTTCAAACCCATTTCCTTTTTACATATACAGAATTGTCTGCTGTGTTGTTGTACATAAGATAATCATATGACCAAGCAAACTAAAGTTCTGCTCTTTGTCCATTCCATTTCCATAAAGGGAGAAATGGGTCCAAAGGGAGAACCTGGTGCACCAGGGCACAGAGGACCGATTGGAAGACCCGGAAAAAGAGGCAAACAGGTAGGAGCCCTCTGTTATAGTCTCCTCCCTAAAATATGTTTCATTGGGCTGCTGTGTGACTCTGCCTTTTTGACTACATAAAACATGTTGGTCTGTTCTGAGTAGATAAATGAGTGGGCTGAGGGAATATCTGAAAAGGCAAAATCTATTGGATTAAATGTCACCCAACAAAACAGGATATGATTCATAATAGTCCATAAAGAATATGTCTATGAGAAATGAGGATGCCAATGAAACAGAATAAGAGATAATAATGCTACTACTTAGTGAAGAAAAAAAGATGCCTAGAAAGCAGTAATGCTAAAATAACCCTAGGATTTTGACAAGATGGCGCAAGATAATGAGACAAGAAGGTGATAAATTTCATACATTTATCTTTAGGTCTCCTATATATTTTTGTGTTCTAAGCTAAACAGTCCAAAACACTGTAACCTTTCTTCGTAAGAGAATTGCTCCACTCCCTTGAGGATTTTGATTGCTTTTTTCCAACTTTGCAGTATCCCTTCTATATGGTCCAAAACACTGTAACCTTTCTCGTAAGAGAATTGCTCCACTCCCTTAAGGATTTTGATTGCTTTTTTCTTCCAAGTTTTCCAACTTTGCAGTATCCCTTCTATATCAGCAATATTTCAGCAGTAATTCCAACCATGTTATACTGTAGATTTCTATAATGGCAATATGATATGCACAGTTTTATTTTCCTTTCCTTTTCTAATTACGACCAGTATTGAATGTTTGTTTTGTTTTTTTAACACCAGTTGCAAACAGGTTCAGTGTTCACAAAAATCCAAGTACTGTCCCTTGCCTAATTGTTGCTAGCTCAGATCTGTCAGTGTATATATGAGGTTATTTTTTTCTTTACTCATGCATTGGAACTAATTTGTCATTTTAATGTCTATTCCTCTAGTTTGGAGAGAAAGTTTTGGAACTGTTCACAGTTTGTTTGTTCCCCAGCTACCTTGCCTAACTTGGTGGGCAACTATATAAATCCAGAATCAATAATGCTTAATGATAGACTAATTTAAATTTACTAATTTATGTTCCGTGTATTCGCGAAGGCTTTCATGGCTCGGATCTAATGGTTGTTGTGGGTTATTTTGGGCTCTTTGGCTGTGTTCTGAAGGTTTTTCTTCCTAACGTTTCACCAGTCAACGTTTCGCCAGTCTCTGTGGCCGGCATCTTCAGAGGACAGAGACTGGAGAAACATTGACTGGCGAAATGTTAGGAAGAACAACCTTCAGAACATGTCCAAAGAGCCTGAAAAACCCACAACAACCAATTTATGTTCCATTCATTAATGTACATTGCCGACTTAAATCCAATTGATTTCAGGACCTACTCTAAATATGACTAAGTTTGACCCTCATTTTCTTCAATTCTAAATGTTGTTTTGAAGACTGAGGCTAAGCTGGAGAAGGGTCTGAGACGTGTATTTAAATAGATGTTTCTTAAATAAGAGGGGACACTTTTCACCTACTCAGTCATTTCCTGCCTCCATAGCCAGCTGACATCCCTCTATAAAATGCCTCCAATGGCGGCTAAATTAAGAAGGTGTTACTTCCACTTCCATTCTGAGATCCATCTTGTTTATCTCGTCGACTCCTTCAAGTTCATGCCAAGAGTTCTCCGGCTTGTTTAGTTTACACCAAGCCAGGCTACATGCAGATCTACAGGTCTCAACCTTACAAGTGCTAAATATCACCATTATAATCAACAATAACAACAGCAACAGCAACCCACTTGTAATCACTCATACACGAACTTTGCTACAATCTAAGTGACATGTGAGTTGAAATCAAGTAACTAGTCTTAAGAATGTGAGTGTGACAGTTCAGTATCTTATGAAAAAGTCTTCTAGAACTCTGGTCTACAATTAAGGGGCAGCTCATCCTACCATGTTGCTTTGGTTATGATCCCCCAATGTATAGGATTCCTTTCAGCAGTCTTCTCTGCTTCTCACTGTCTCTTGCCTTCCTCTACCATCTTTACTCTTTTGTCCCCTAAATCCTCTCTAGATCTTCCATCTTTTCTAAACCAAGTTTTATATGCGAAGTTGGGAGATTTCTATTTTTTATTTTTATGAACTGTATTAGAATATTTTAACTCTGTAAAGGAAGCCACAGCCTTCACTTCACAAGAGCTGAGCTGTGCTGTTGAGGACAGAAGATTTTGAAGGTCATTCATTTATAGAGTTGCCAAACATCAGAGGCGACTTGATCACACATAACAGCATTAATAACGTTAGGAAATATGTATATTGATACTGAACATTATCCACTAATGAGCTTAAGTCTAGGCAAATAAGGTTTTAAACAAATGAATATATCACCAATACAATCTACTGCCCCACTGTTGAAATGTGTTAAATATCAAGTCATCAATATCTACTTCTCCACTGCGTTGGCTTTCCCACTCTTTTTCATTCTCATTTTCATGCTCATTCTTCAGTTTTTTTAAAAGATAAAAAGCAAAAGGAAATGGAGGTATGTGTCACTGCTGCTATTCATTTTGGATCACTCCATGATGAAGTTCTGGGTCATAATCCACTAAATGAAGGATGGTGCTCTAGGGCTAGAATAGTTCTGCTATTGGACCTCAAAGCACATCTGCAGAAACAGTGCTCATATTGGTGCAGGATGCTGCTGCAGGACCTATGTAAAAAGAAACAATGTGTGCTTTGCACTAAAAATTGTAACTGCTTCTTTGAACTAACTGCTTTAAGGCAGAAATACTTTGCAGTTTGTTTCCTCAGCATTTCTGCACATTAAAAAACAATATATTCTGGTCCAGCAACATGATGGTATATTTCTGTAAGTTTTGTTTTTAAGTGCAGCATGTACCCAATGTTCTTTGTTCTATGATCATCAGATGCTATGAAGTCATTGTCTAGTGAGAAACGGGTAGTACAAGTCACACCTACATTGCTATAGGACTGGATGTGGTGACCTGAAATTTGTTGATATGCCTAAGCAGTGCTTTTGAGAATGAGACCAGAAACAGATGTTAGAGATAGCCCATGGCTGGAAAAGGGAAATCTTTAGCTCATGTGAATTGAGTGCCATAGCATGAGCTCTTTCCCCTTCCAAGATTAAGCAGATCAGGTGCTTTGTTTGGTGAGTGGTCTTCAGGACTTAAGCACAGGGATTCTTTGAAGTCTGATTTCACAAATAGCAGATTACCTCAGTCACCTTTCTCCAACTTCAATGTGCTCTCAGCTATGATTGTGGACTAACCCTAACATCTGTTTCTGGCCTAAATTCCCCCACAAATGTTTGCACCAGTAAACCATTCTCTGCAGTATGTAAAATGGAGGAATCAATAAGATCTTTTCCTCAGATAGTGAATTCTTTGAAGTCTGATTTCACAAATAGCAGATTACCTCAGTCACCTTTCTCCAACTTCAATGTGCTCTCAGCTATGATTGTGGACTAACCCTAACATCTGTTTCTGGCCTAAATTCCCCCACAAATGTTTGCACCAGTAAACCATTCTCTGCAGTATGTAAAATGGAGGAATCAATAAGATCTTTTCCTCAGATAGTATAGTTTCCTTTATCTAACACTGCAGTTCTGCCAGAGAACCATTGTGTTGTGATGGACAGAACGTCAGCCTAAGGCTGAGGAGACCTGGGTTCAAATAACTGTTTGTTCAAAGAAACTCACTAGGACTGGTATGGGAAATACTCCTTAAATATCTGACATACCTCAGATACACTATCAGAGTCATCATAACTCAGAAGCAACTTGACAGAACATAACAAGGCAATTCCATCTGTCCTGTCCTCCAATGACCCCAAGTCAGTGTATGTAGCTCTTTTCCTCCTCACTTTATCCACACAACCACCAGCATATGGGATATGTTGAGCTGGAAGAGAATGACCAGCCCTAGTTCATGCCGTGAGTTTTCATGACTTGATGAAGATATTAACGTAGACCCCCATCCCCACCCCTACCCCCAAATCCCAGTCCAGCACATTAATCACTATAGCATACTGGTTCTCTTTTAGTTAAAAAAACGCATAGTTTGTCTCCATGTGCATGACTCTGCTTTGGACTGTTATTTATAATTAAACACCTTTCAAAACTTCCAAGGTATGGTCTTTCTTTCTTTTTAATGTTAGGGTCAAAAGGGAGACGTGGGTCCTCCTGGAGTTGCAGGCCCACCTGGCAGACCTGGTCCTCCTGGTCAGTCTGGTCCACCAGGACCTTTAGTATCAGGTAAGACAGGAGCATCAAAATACCTGTGCTTCCCTCCCTTAATTTATATGGAAGAAAAGAGACATGTTCTTCTGAGGTGTCTTGCACAACTAGCTGCAGAAATCACACATTTAAGGTATATTTTAGAGTGTTGTTGGGTTTGCCCTTCATGACAGTGGAAGCTGTTTTGCACCACAGAGTAAGAAGCAGAGCGGTAACTGGGGCAGGGTAACCAAAGATTTGACCTAGGGCAGGGTAAATTAGGAGGTGGAAAAGAATGCTGTTGGAAGGGTGTGATAGGGCATGGACCTACGCACTCTGACCTTGTAAGCCATTGGCAGCTGCTCTTCCCTAGGCAGAAGGAAACACAAGACAGGCCAACCCAGTACAGACATATCCAAATCTAGGGAGTACGGAATAGAAGATAAAACAAACACAGGAAACTCCATATTGCAGCTAAAAAAACCTCAGAGCTTAGTGTGTAATATGCAAAAATATCAACAAAAGTGTATCAACAACTTATATCAAACCATCCAACAATATACAGTATGTTAACAATGTTCTGTCTGATACTAAGCAAGCAAATAATATGATAAAGTTTTTCAATATAAATGTGTGCCTACTCATAAAAGATCAAAATCTAAGGTCTGAAGTGCTGAGTAAAAAGTCCATTCAAAGGTAGTCAAAGTCTTGGATCGTTGGGGTAATTGAGGGGCTCCAAGCATAAATAATTATCCACTAAGCTCATTTCATGGTCTTTTTACTTCTTCAGAAGATACCCTTTGGACCTCCAAAATGCTGGAAACAGGAACATTCATGCACCTAAAATAGTTTTGAAACACAATAATAATAGACCTTATTTTGGTGGTCATACTCCCCCCACTATTAGGTAATGTAACAGTGTCTTATAAGTATTTCAATAAGTATTTCAATATAATTCAATTTCACATGCTAGTGTCCTCTTATTGTATGTTGGTTCTCTGCTGGAAATCATTCTGGGATGACCACCAAAGTGAGATCTATTATTAGAAAAAAATTGAATGCCATTAAAGGTTTCAGAATCAGAATCAGATATTTTTGCATATTATACACTCTGTTCTAAGTTCTGTTTAGCTGCAACCCAGTACAGAATCTGTTGCATAACCAAGCCCCAGGTATTCCCCCCCCCCCCCCCACCCCGCTCCTCTATCCTGTCTCTGTCTGCCAGACTTCTAGGAAAATCAGCGGGTGGGTGGGTTGGTTGCTTAAATTTCCTTTCTCTATGAATGGGGGTTCTGATTCCAAACAGCCATCTACAATAGTTACCTGGAAGAAGAGACAGTGGAGTTTATCTGTTTGCTACACATTTAACATGGTGTATAGTTTAATCACTCTGCAATGTTACTCATACCCAGAATAATTTATTCATCTACTTAGAGTAAAATGACACCACACAATTATAACCACCTGATATCATGCCTTCATCCAATGGAATCCTGGAATTTCTAGTTTGGGAGACCCTTAAAAGTTTCTTCTAGAGAGTTCTAGTCCATTCCCTTGACCTACAGCTGAGAATTTTATAACCATCTGATAACATGCCTTTATCCAATGGAATCCTGGAATTTCTAGTTTGGGAGACCCTTAAAAGTTTCTTCTAGAGAGTTCTAGTCCATTCCCTTGACCTACAGCTGAGAATTTTAAATGCTCCCTAAACTACAAATTCCAGGATTCCATAAGATGAAGTGAAAATGACTTAAGTGGTTTCAAGCTGCTTTAACTGTGTGCTGTAGATCAGTGGTTTTTAACCTTTGTTACTCGTAAGATGAAGTGAAAATGACTTAAGTGGTATCAAGCTGCTTTAACTGTGCGCTATAGATCAGTGGTTCTTAACCTTTGTTACTCGGATGTTTTTGAACTGCAACTCCCAGCCAGCAAAGTTGGTGGTGAAGGCTTCTGAGAGTTGCAGTCCAAAACTCCTGAGTAACCCAAGGTTAAGAACCAGTGCTGTAGATAACAGCCCTGTGTGCCCTTAAAGTCCCACAAAAACCTCAGGAGAAAACCAAACAGTGGTGAAAAAAAGATAATTAGACCAAAAGGTGTAAGACCAATAACATCCAAGAAATATTATATACAACCCTATTATAAAGATTTTAATATCAGAGACATTCAACAAGTTATAGAATCCACATTTTAAGTATTAGATTATTAGCATGCAGATAGTGGGCCAGTTTTCTCTTTTCAGCATATATGGAACTATTTCAGCAATATTCTCATATGGAAATCTGTTATTTTTTAGGGCAACTAACAATGGGACCAAAAGGGGAAAGAGGGCTTCCTGGACCTCCCGGGAAATGTCTCTGCAACCCACAGCAAAATGTGAATACCCCATCATATGAGGAACCACTGTTTGGACCCTATTCCAAAGTTCCTGCAGTAAGTGAGTTTGATAGGAGTTAAAATGAGCATGTTGGATAAATTGGCCATCCAAGATTGCTTTGATCAACTTGATCTTGCCTGCTTTGGGCATGTTTGAAAGTGAAACAATCCCCCCCACCCCGAAAACAAGACACGTGTACCAAATATAATCTGGATGCTTCAGAAGGTTACTTTTGAGTATTCACTCTGACAACTCTTCAACAATGGTAAATATTACTTTGTTGGCTGTGGTATGTATGAAGTTGTGGAAGTTGTGGACCAAAAAAAGAGGATCTTATTCCATATCTGTAACTACAGTATTGTCTTCCCATCTGTATGCTTTCCTGCTACAATGTCAAAATCAAAATGCAAAGTATCACTTAATAATTAAGCCATGTAACGTATTAAATATTAGCCAGGACCACCACATGCAACTAAATGAGGCTTACACTTCAACTTTAATGGAAATCTGTTGACTTTTTTTTTCCTGGATAGGTAGTGACCAATTATTTTCTGTTTGACAATAACAGTCCAGACAGTTCTTCCACATAATGCTTCTGTTCTTTGGGAAATTGCATTTCCCCTGCAATCACACCACAAACTGATTGAGCAATGCAGTTTTGCTCCATACTACATGTAATTCATGTAGTATGTAATGAGATTTTGTGCATTGTGAGAGTTTACTGTAATAATGAGATTTTGTGCATTGTGAGAGTTTAATGACAGGTACCAAGGGAATGGTGATACTTGTGGTGATACATGATACAAATCCTTCCTCCCGCTAAATTTTTCCAAATGTACAGTTAAGAAATTTAGAACACCACAATCTTTTGAGTTGCCCTGTTTGTCTTCTGTTCTCTTTTGAAGGTTGCACAATATCACTTTCTAAATTTGGAATACATCTATGCTCCTCTCTTTGGGTAAAGAATAGATAATTCCACCCTAAGTTTACTCTCTGTTTATTTACATAACCACAGGTTTATAGCAGCCTTGGTTAAGAATTAGGCTGAATAATAATTCAGCCTAACAACAAGAAGAGGTTTTGAGGTAGGAGTAAACATAAAGGCTGAAATTCTTCACATTACAAACGAGCCCTTAGATCCCTATTCTGTTACAGTGGATTTTAGGATGACATAGGGGCTTCCTACTTTATGTTCTTTCTCTTCTCCAGATTTTTGTAGTGAATAATCGTGAAGAACTGGACAGGCTAAAGATGGACAATGCTCTAGCTTTTCGAAGAGATCAGAGATCTTTGTATTTCAAGGATACTTTTGGATGGCTTCCGATTCAGGTAAAAACAAAAACTGCAACTTTGGTAAGTATTTTATCCTAAGGACACTGAAATCGTTGTGTTTAAAAGTAGTACAGATTTTTGTATCTGATAAGCAAGGTAGTTTTACAGGGAAGTAAAATGCTACCAATTACTTTCTATAGAATACATTTCAGAAATAAAAGTACAAAGTGAAAAGAATGTAGCAGGAACTGGTATGTCTGTGCAACCCTAACAATATGTTCCATTGGACAAAAGGACTTCCTTTTGAGTAAACATGTGCAGAAGTACATTGTAAGTTTCACAGTGCTACCATACTCTTGCATAGCAAGGGTCATCAGAATAATTAGCAGGCAATCCAGTTATTTCTATTACTTATAATGTTTAACTGTGGCAAAGGATTTGCTTGCCTGCCCATCTTATGCCCATCATATACGAGTAACCAACTGGAGAGGGTGATTAAGCATTCGTGGCACTCTGCCTGCTCCAGCTCTTATATTTTGTGCTTCTAGAGGGAAGAAGGTGTGAGGGGGGATAACAAAAATCAATGGATAAAATCCTTTTACTTATTTCGTTCGTTCATTTAGTCGTTTAGTCGTGTCCGACTCTTCGTGACCCCATGAACCAGAGCACGCCACACCTTCCTATCTTCCACTGCATCCCAGAGTTGTGTCAAATTCATGTTGGTTGCTTCGCAGACACTGTCCAGCCATCTCATCCTCTGTTGTCTCCTTCTCCTCTTGCCATCACACTTTCCTAACATCAAGGTCTTTTCCACGGAGTCTTCTCTGGAGCCTCAGCTTCAGGATCTGTCCTTCCAGTGAGCACTCAGGGTTGATTTCTTTTAAAATTGATAGGTTTGTCCTCCTTGCAGTCCAGGGGACTCTCAAGAGCCTCCTCCAGCACCACAATTCAAAGGCATCAGTTCTTCAGCGGTCTGCTTTCTTTATGGTCCAGCTCTCACTTCCATACGTCATGACAGGAAAAACCATAGCTTTGACTATTCGGACTTTTGTTGGCAAGGTGATGTCTCTGCTCTTTAAGATGCTGTCTAGGTTTGCCATCGCTTTCCTCCCAAGAAACAGGCGTCTTTTAATTTCGTGGCTGCTGTCTCCATCTGCAGTGATCATCGAGCCCAAGAAAGTAAAATCTGTCACTGCCTCCATATCTTCCCCTTCTATTTCCCAGGAGGTGATGGGACCAGTGGCCATGATCTTGTTTTGCACGTTTTGTGTTTTTTTGATGTTGAGTTTCTGGCCATTTTTTGCACTCTCCTCTTTCACCCTCATTACAATACAAATTTACTTATTTACAGTAGCACAAAATAATTGCTCTAAATCTCAGTGGTGAATCACCACAAATTCAGAGGTCAACATAGCCATGTGACTCAGCACACAACAGCAAACGCTGACATTGGCTTCCCATTTTTTGGCTATTTATTGCCAAGATCTACACTGCTTATGTTATGCCTATGGGCAAAACTAGTAGAATTTTACTTGTCACCTATATTGGAATAATGTTCCGTTGCCTGTTCACTCGGCTTTTGTTTGTTGAATGGGCGGGATGCCACCTTAACTTTTTTCTGAGGCAGCAAAATATCTTGGACCAGCCATGTCTGTAGTTAGAGGAATCAAAATTCTTGGAATGATTCCCCCACCCCCCCAGTAATTTCCAGCAAATAAGAAAAAGATTTTATGCTTCTCCGCCCTCAAATGCCTCTTCCACTACTTGTCTTTCTGTGAAAATAACTATGGTTATAACCCATTTCAAATAAATGTCTTGCAGCTTATCCCTTTCTACCCTCTGGATTATCCAACAGAAGATGGAAATACCTGCGGAGATGGGATTGTCCAGGATGGGGAAGAATGTGATGATGGCAACACGGTTGTAACGGATAGCTGTATAAGTATGTTCGAGCTGTTCAGTTCTTTATTTTACGTAAACATCACTGTTGTCCATGGGATAAATTATTAAAAATCATGTGCTCCACTGTGTGAGGAAAACAGCAGAATATAGCATTCTAAGTCACATACCTCAACCAGTCGTTGGTCAACACTAATGAAGTTGTTAGTGTGGGGAGAGCTATTCTTCCATGTCAGTGGTCACTCAAAGCAATGGTCTACAGATGTTCCTTAAACCAGGGACCAACATTTCTGGTGTGTACAACTTTCTCTAAATAGATATCAGAATTTCACTACTTTCTAATTAGAACAAGGTGGTGTGCTGTACTGGTTTACAGTGTTTGCTTAGGAAGTGAGAAATCAGGATTCAAATTCTCCCTCTGTCAGGAAACTTTTTGGGTGACTTTATGTCTGTCTGTTGGACGCTCTCTTTCTCTCTCCCTCTCATCCACCTCACAGAATTATTGTCCGAATTGGGGAGGAGTATATATTTTTCCAAGAGTTTCCTGGAGGAAAGGTAGATTCCCACATTCATTGATTTAGGCTGGTAAAAAAACATTCTAAAAAACATTTAACTGAATTGTATTAAGATTCTTTTTAGTTTATTTAACACTCTTCTCAGTCTTTCTCTGCTATTCTCAGATTTTTTTAAAATTCTTATTTTCTTTTATTCTTCTTGTTATTATTAGGAAGAATGGCACAATGGGAACTTAATGATATTTCTTGCATGTGTTAGTTGTTTTGACTTCTTTTTTTCTCTCCAAAATAATATGGATCCAGTTATTAGGATAGTTAGAACAAGCCCATTGAAATTAATGGATTGAATTATTAATGATCATTAGCTGGAGCCTGGATTATTAACAAGAAGCACTTTTGTGTTCCATCCACTATCCAGAGAGCTGAAGGCACATGAATACTACAGATCATGAGACCCAGTATTGTGCAGTGGTTAGAGTATTGAACTGGGAATTTGGATATCCAGGGCTAGATACCACAGAGCCATTAAACTTATTAAGGAACCTTGGGTCAGCCATTGTGTTACGGAAGAGAACCATAGATATCACCTTGCACTTACTGAAGGAAAGAAAGGGGGGATATAAATGAAAGTAATTCTGGCATAGTAATTATTAATAACAACAAATTACTTCGGGAGGCGATGACAGTGTTCGAATACTGCAGTCAAGAGAAAATTAGACACCCATCTGCCAGATATACTGTATTTTTCAGTATAGCCACCTAGAGTGGTCGCAAGACCAGATAGGCGGGGTATTAAATAAATAAATAAATAAATAAACAAACAAACAAACAAACAAACAAACAAATAAATAAATAAATAAATAAATAAATAAATAAATAAACAAATAAACAAATAAATACTTTTGTCTAAAAATTTTAGACTAAATTGAGGGTCATCTTATACATGGAAATAAGCTGAGGAGAGTACAAAAACAAGTGGAGGGGGAAGCAGGGATCAAATTGTTCCTGCAGGGCTTTCATCCCTGCTTTCCCCTCCACTTGCTAATCCTTAGCAAAAGGAAAGCAGAGATCAAAGCGCTGCAGGATAATTTTGATCCCTGCTTTCCCCTCTGCCTGCTAAGTCCCATGGGGCTTAACAAAAGGAGGGGGAAAGAATCAAAGCAATCCTGTGGCTGTATAAGGGGGAAAGGGGTCAAAACGATCGTGCAGTTGCACGAGAAAGCAGGGATCAAAGCGATCCTGCAGCACTTTGATCCCTTTCCCCCTACACCTGCTAAACCCCACTTAGATTTTTAAATTTTGGGTTAGAAAAGTGGGGGGTGTCTTATACATGGGAAAATACGGGACTTTGGTTTGGATTCCTGCATTGAGCAGCGGCCCCCTTCCAACTCCAGTATTCTGTGATTCTGTGATTCTTGAAACACATTGTACTATCTTTCTGTAAAGAGGTGCATTATAACACTTATGAATAAATAAATGTCATGTGCTCTTTTATTTTACATTTCTTAGGATGCCGCCATGCTTACTGTGGAGATGGCTACCGACATGAAGGTGTTGAAGACTGTGATGGACAGGATTTTGGATATTTAACATGTAAAACCTATCTCCCTGGGTATGGCAAGTTTAAATATTATCTAATTCTCTGTTGTAGCTCAGAAGAATGCTGTTCATTTATACAGTGGTAACAACACATTGCATGGGTAAGGAAGAGAGAAGCAATGGGCTTCCTTTTCAACATAACATTCGATCCTTGGCGTTATAGCTTCCATTGGTCAGCAGCATTTTTACTGTAGCAGCTGTAGTTCTCTCAGACTGTCATGTACTGTCTGACGGGAAACATTTAATTTGCAAATGAAATTAACTGTAGAGTCCTGATGGTTCATGATAGAATAATGTGTTAATTGGCAGGAAAAAGAATGGATGAGATTCAGTTCTGCAAGCCCTCTTCTGTGTTAACTCTCAGCATGCTTGCCCCTAGAGCATCCTGTACATTAAGGCTGTTAAATCAGCAAGAAGGAGTTATGTAAAGAGATTGAAACTAAAGCTTGATCCTTGAGATTAAAATGTTTTAAAAAATGAGGCTTCTGTTTAGGAATTATTAGATTAACCACACAGGACAGTTGCTACTATGATACTTCTCCAGCTGTAGGTGTGCAATTTACAATAGGGGAAATCTTCCCATTGAAGTGAATGGGAGCATTCCAATTTTACACTAATCGTGGTCAGCGTACAGCTAGATATAGATCAGCCTGAGTGTAGACTGTGCCAAATATTTGGCGGTAAACATTGTTACCAACTATATTTTATTTTATGACACAGATTTTAGTGTGTGACGTTTTCCCAGTATCCTTCTATCTTGTTTAATTTGCTTCCTTCAGTAGACTTACATTCAAAACCCTCTTGTCTCCATCCTTCCCGAAGTTAACAGATTGAAAGATTTACGAAGGAAGTATCCACAGCTTATAACAGAAAGGGAGCAAATTGTATTAATAATGTAATGACTTGTGTGTTCTGTCTTAGATCATATGGAAAACTGCGATGCACTTCTTATTGCTATATTGACTCTACAGATTGTCGATATTTTACATGAGGAGTGGGCAATGGTAGGTGAGTATCCCACATATGATATGCACACATCGATGCAATGTTATCGTCATCAAACCAAGCCCAGGTAATAGACAAGCAAACCATCTCTATGATGAAAACCGCCAGTGCTATATTGCCGTGATGATCCAAGATGCATTTCAATCAACTCACACTGGAAGAAAATAGGACCACTGCATTCTGTCTTAGAAAACTGTCAAACAGTGTTCAAAGTTAAGACTTAACTTTTCCATGGCTGCTTATAGGAAATCCCATGAGCAAGACGGAAAAAAACACCAGACTATTGGAACACAATTTTACTTCTATACTGGTACTTCAGAAAAACACAATACCTCAACTTATCACTGTTAGTCCTACAAATAAGCTCTTCAGGCTATTGTTTTTGTTTTGTTTTTTTAAAAAGACTTTCCCAGTATAAACACAAAGCATATTCTGGATGTAGTGTTTATAAGAACTATTTAGGCATTTTAAAAATTATGTGAACTTTGTACATGCTCTTGTTGCATGAAATACATGTTCAGCTGAGCAAAAAGTCCAAGGTATGTGTGTATTGTTGACCTGAAATTACTGAGGCTGGAATCTAAAATATCCTGACCTGGGAATAAATCCTATTTGACCTGCTGCTTAAATATACATCTCAGCAGATACATCTGAGGAGTTGAAGAAAGTCATCAGCTTTATTTAAGAACAGAGGTTATATTAAAATGTGAGAAATGTAAATCGATTGATATAAATTTAACTCAGAAGCAACGAAAGCCGGTCAGTTCAGGTGTGCATATAGTATGAGTCTCTCCTGGAAGACAAAAATCAAGGCCCCGTCTATTTGTTTGGAAGGACATCCTATTAGATTCAGTATGGCTCACTCCCACCACAGTTTGTGTAGGAGTGCAGAAAAAATCATTAGTTTTTCATCCTGAGATGGTGACTTCAGGACAATTTATTCCCATGAAACAAGGAGAGTAAGCTCCTAATACATTATGCCTCTGAAAATTAACAACAATATATCTTCTGTTAATAGGCCTGAAAGGTGCATTATTGATTATGCAGCAAAATGGAAGGTGGATAGAATTCCATTAAAGACAACTGTTGAATAACATTTTTTTATTTTAGCTAATGTCAGAAAATACTGTATTAAATTACTTGTTTTCTTATGTACCTACCATTCATTGCCAATCAAAATTATCCATTTCCTACAGAGCAACTGCTTTCCAATCTCAGTGTTGTACAACATTTAATATTAATGTGTATATATTCCCATTTGTATAGCCTGTAGAAGTTAACTGGCTGAAATCCTGCTTAGCATAGGAAGTCACACTAGAGTTGGCCCATTGAATCCATTAACTGCTCCATATGTTTCACTGATTCACATGGGCCTACTCTAACTCTGACTTACTATGCTCAAGTTAGTCACAACTAGAGTAAGTCCATTTGAATCAATGGAACCTGAACTCACTGGTTCAAGGATTCTTCTTAGTGTGACTTGCTATGCAACAGGATTTCGGCCACTGTGTTATTCAGAGTAAATCTGTATAAATGTTATATGTATATATGTATTTTTTCCAGAAAGAATCTTTAGATGGTTATGTTATCTTTGAGACCTTTTTGGATAATAACTTGTGCATATTAAAGAGCAAATTTCATGTTGGAAGGATGCTGAGTAAGATACACTTTAAGGAGTTATCTTAAAGTCAGGTAGACTTTCAGAAATTCTTTATACAGTGAAATATGAAATTCAAACTTAGGAGAACAGACTGGAGAAGATTGACCTATCTGTCATTAGTGGTCTGTAGAATATGTTTGAAATACATGAACACATTTAGAATGACTGTTATGTACTGTTACTTCTAGAAAAGCTGGATAAAGATGACATCACACAATTATAATAAAAATGTAATCAAAAGCAGCATTCAATTTACCTTTAACCACGTGCAAAGATGTGTAGGTTACTTTAATGCTGGTTGCACAGAGCAGCGTGGAAAGTAATTTAAGAAGTAAAGCAGTTAAGATTGCAGTCTTGTCCCTACTTGCTTGGGGATAAGCATGGTTGAACTGAAAGGGGCTTTCTTCTGAATCAATGCACAGCAGATTGTGCTGGGAAAGGTTTGGATGTGTTTCCATTGTATTGAATGGTTTAAAGTATCAAGTAACCAGCTTTTAGGCATGATGCAGATAACCTTTAGTATACCTGGGTTACTTGAGCCCAGTGTGCTATGACTATAGCTTGGAACACTATTTTTAAAGAAATTCATTGAGTTACTCATTGGCAATCTTGTGGTTGTTACAGATACATAGGTAAGCAGTTGCCAAAAGAATGCAGGGAAATACTCTCTGTGACCATGCCTGATATTGCTTTCAACGTAGTTACTAAAGTATAGAAGAAAAAACAAGAGAATATTTCCTTTGCCACTTAGTATTGATAAAGGAATGAGAAAAATCTCAGAAACTTTCCTGTCAACATTCCTTTTAAAATGCATTAAAACCGTTCTGTTAAAGTGACATTTAAAGTAACTAGAAAAGTTGCATGCTATTTCTAAAAATTTCTAATATGACTAATTATTGTTTACTTCTAGTGTACATTTGTAGCTACTTATTACATTTCTCAGTACCTCAAAAGTGACTTCTTCTGTGTAACTATGTTGCTTGTAATTAATTACTTGTAAGCTCTGGAAATATATCTGCATTTATGTTAGGGACGTGGTGGCACTGCGGGCTAAACCGCAGAAGCCTGTGTGCTGCAGGGTCAGAAGACCAAGCAGTCGTAAGATCAACTCCACGCGACGGAGTGAGCTCCCATCGCTTTGTCCCAGCTCCTCGCCAACCTAGCAGTTCGAAAGCATGTAAATGCGAGGAGATAAATAGGTACCACCTCGGTGGGAAGGTAAAACGGCGTTCCCTAGTCACGCTGGCCACGTGACAACAGAAACTGTCTTCGGACAAGCGCTGGCTCTACGGCTTGAAAATGGGATGAGCACCGCCCTCTAGAGTTGGACACAACTGGACTAAAAATGTCAAGGGGAACCGTTACCTTTTTATGTTAGTTTTGGTAGACACTAGTATGTGCCACTTGCCTTGTTTATAAAATGCCATATTATTGGCTTGTACGCAGTATCTGCCACATGCTTTGTGTGTTGCATGTGCAAAGACTACGAATGAGGACCTTGTATTTGAAAGTATTGAACAAGAGAAGGTGAGAAAGAGGGTAGACTAAGAGCATGGTGACACTATTAAAATGAATCAGGAGCTGGGTCAGGGTATTTGAAATAACTTTAAAGTTACATAATTTTTCTTTGGTGTGTGCAGCCTCTTGGGACAATTTTGATTCCAGTTGTAAGCACTGTGATATATTGGTACAGGGGAATACATGGTGCTTCAAATAATTGCACTTGTAAGAACAGATGCTCAGCTCCCATGCACAAACAAGGGAGAGTGGGATTGGAGTGGAGGAGTGAAGAGAGCATTCCATGAAATAATATTACGAAACTACCCCTCTTCAAGAGAAAGACATTCTGGACAAAAACAAAAAATAAAAAACAACCCTGGATGGGTTGCAGGCTTACCTCACCAGAGAGTGGGGGAGAAAGTAACAGCAGCAGCAGCCTTCAGCTGGCCTCACAGCTCATAGTTTGTGTGAGAGACATGTGAGTGAAGAGCCACTCACAATAGCTGCTGCCTTGGCTTCAGCCTCTTGCTTGCTTCCTGACGTCACAGCTCTGGCTGGCCCATTTGCATGCTTCCCTGCCTCATTTTCCATCCTTCATGTGCTGGAAACCAAGACAGCTGACGTAAGACAAATTTTAAAAAATATATTTCAAAGTGACATGGTGATACACCACCAGTGAGGCAACTGGCAGTACTTTCCAGCATTTAAGTGATATAGCAATAAAATAGAAACAGATGAGGGGATGGGGAAAATAAGAATTCAGACTGCAGGATACCCAAAATCCGTGATCCTGGCATCCAATACTTGAAAAACCCCACAGACACAATTTACTCCAACACAGGAATTCGCACATGCACAAAACGATCCAAAATAAATCGTGTTCACAACTGATTTAAAATAAACAACCTTCTAGCAGCTGTTTTAAAAAACTTGCCTTTCTGATGGAAAAATGTGCACTTGGTTGTACACCATGTAAACATATATTTTCAAATCTATGTCAAGTGCACTAAACCTGATGCAAACCTGCAAAATTATTATGTGTAACAGAGTCGTTAGTTGGCACCTTTCTCATTAACCACCACTGAGAAATAACAGGTCCGAATAAATGGAGGGGCTGCAGAACACACGTTTTCTGTGCAGGAGATACTAGATTCAATCCCCAGCCTCTCCAGCTACAAGGAGGAAAGACTCTTGCCTGAAACCTTGGAGAACTGCTGTTAGTATTCAGATGAAGGAGGAATGAAAATGGATGGAAGAAGCATCATAATTTAAGATATAAATTATAAAGAAGACACCATTTTACTGGCAGAAAATAGATGTCACTTTACATGATCAGCAATGGTTAAGGAAGGAAGTGCAATAACAGGATTATAGCCAAACTTTAAGAAAGCAAAAATCATGACTATAGAAGAAATTACATAATGTTAATAACTATGAAGAGACTGGAACAGTTAAAAGATTTTCTGTATCTTCAGTCATCAGTCCAAAAGGAGACTACAGTACATCCAAAAAGACAGAGTCACAAAGACACCCCTGTGTCACTCAAAACCAAGACCAAGATTGTCCATATTATGGTATTTGCGGTTGCTCTGTATGGCTGTGAAAGGTGGGTAGTGAAAAAAAATAATTCATTTGAAATATGGTGTTGAAGGAAAACTTCGGAGATACCATGGACTGCCAGAAAAACAAATACGCGAGTGCTAGATCAAATGAAGCTATGAGGCTGTTGTATTTAGGATACCTTGTGAGAAGACAAGACTCATGGGAAAAGACAAAATGGTAGGGAGAATGAACGGGAGGAAGAAAAGTGGAAGGTCAAAGTGAGGTGGATTAACCAAGTTATAGAAGTCACAGCCTTTAGTTTGTAAGAACCTAAGTGGGGCTTTTAATGATGGGACCTTTGGGAGATCATTAATTTACAGGGTCACCACGAATTGGAAGTGATTTGGTGGCACACAACAAAAACTTTTTAAGTATTGCAGTGAGTATTGGTGATGTGAGGAATATCAGATAAAGAACCAGTAAGTGGACTTCAGTCAAGTCCTGGGAAAAAGAAAGAAACCTAAAGGGAACAGCCAGCAATAGCAGAGGAGTGGATCCTGACAAAATGGCCGAATCAATTGTTTCTATTTCATTGGCATGGGAAGCTTTGAAATC